CAAGCATGGTCAGAGGTGATGGGAAGGGGAAAGTCGGGGTGCTCAATGCAGTTCCAGCCTTCCATTCGCTTTTAGTCTCGTTACCATTCCACTCAGAAAAAAATGATGCTTTAAGCGCCTTTAAGTTGGGAAAATTGATTTTCGTATTAAGGAAAATATAAGTTTTAAAACTGCTCACTGAAATAAGAATCCCCCCGAAAATCCACTTCCACTTAAACATTAAGTTTTTCTTAATATGTTTAAATGTGAGGTGCAAGCCAATTTTGTAACTAAACCAAACGATTTAATTTAGAAAAAATCCGTAAGTCCAAAAAAACAAAAATCACATGTATACAAAAATGCGCATCCTTTACAAGTTTGTCTGCCATGCTATGATTATAAGAATTTACAGTTATAAAATTTGTATTTTCATAAATAGTAGAGAGTTCAAAATAATTACTTTTGATAGAAGAAGAATTGTTTTATATTTAGTGAGTAATTTGATTTTATAATAAAAAATGACCGAAGATAAAATGGTCCATTGTACGCGAATGTTTGTACTCGATTGCGATTGCAGTAAAAAGATGCGAAATTTAGGGCTCAGTGACTATAGACTTAGGTGGGGGCCGCGTTGTAAATAAAGCTGGAAAATTCAACTGCCGTTCTATTGCTAATTATAAGCATGGTGTAAATTTACAATGCTTGTGTTTACAGCTCACGAACTACCGATTATATGACTATATAGTTATGGCCTCCGCTGTGACTTGGCACTCGCGCCCACACACAAGCCCGCAAACATGTATATAAATGAACATACCTATAAATATGTTTACCATTTAACGTATACCCATATATATTTGACAAAGGTTGAGACAAACAAGAAGACAAAAGGCAAATGTTGGAACTGTTGTCAGGTATATTCCCACTCACACAGGCACGGTTAAACTCATTTTCATTCTCTTGCTACCGTTCTGAAGCTCTTGTGTCTTCATTTGTCATTACCAAATGAAGAACTCAGATATTTCCACATTTCATTTATTGTTCATCACTTCTGCGAATAGGAAATCAATGTTTAGGCAAAACCTCCACCAAATACAAACACACACGGGAGCGAGCACACATACAAAAATATGCGCGGAACCGACCTTGAGATTTAATAAAAAGAGAATTAATAAAACGAAAATGACCTGTTTAATTCATGAGAAAATCCAGATGGAAGATATGGCTGGGAAAAATGGGGAGTGTTCGTTTCAGGGAAACTCAAGGCTGAACGAAAGAGCTTCGAAAAGGCACTAAGGAAATGTGCGTTCTAGGCTTATAACGGGACTTATAAGGGTATTCCAGGTTAACACAGTAAAAAAAAAAAATATTTTGCAATGCCTTTGCGAATATGTGGCCATTAATTTTCGATATCCAATGTAGTTTCTGACATATATGAGTTCGGTCTATCTCCACTAATATGCAAATCTTTAAACGCTATTTCCTAAACAATATTTTGAGCCATGAACTAATTCCATGGATCGTTTAGAACATGTATTTCCACGTCGACTAGTCTATGGAAAATAAGCAGCGAACAAACGGTACGTGCACGAAAACTTCATAAAATGTTTCCAAGCTAACTTATAATGTCAAAGAGATTTTTCGACCAGACTAAAAAAACATCAATTGGCAAACAACACTTTATGAGCACGGAAGAATTGCTCGACCTTAAAGTGTTTAACTCTTTTGACCATGTGTATAATGTGTATTATAAAATATTTTTTTTTATTGTTTACACAATTGCGGCAAAAGAAATAGAACCATTGTAAGGAAAATTATTTTTAGTGCTATAAAATGTTCAGTATTATTTGTTTTTCTTTTCAAATTTTCTTACTAAAGTAATGCATTACTGCGACAATACCAACAGTTTTTACAATATGAAAATATTTATCAAACATGTTGCAAAATGGAACCGCACAAAATATGATACCATTAATAGTTATTGTATAAAAGCAGAAACCCTTCAAAACTTTTTGCTTTTTTTTCGTCCATTGAAAATACTAGTATTGAATTAAGTTGCTTAAATACCAGAAAAAAAATATTTGCCTATAGGTCATGCAACTCACAGTAAATTCAAACATTTGAACATTTGAATGTTACATTGTTTTCAAAGTATAAACGTACTTAAAATAAACTAAAAAAAACGATGATAATGTATTTATTAACATATTTAATGGGTTCATCCAACTGGAAAATTGTAGATTTCAATTTTTTAATTTAAGCCCCAATTTTTTCATACTTAAAAATAAAAATTAAAGTCTTACACACTTTGATTTAAACGCAACAATCCTCGGGGCTAAATCAGTACCGAAAATATTTAATTCAAAATGAAAATAGAGTAATTATATTAACCATGACTTTTCTTTGGGTGTAATTGAAAAATTTTAGGACAACGCCTGTACTTTATACGACCAACTAATGCAAAATATAACACCTCATTTAAATCTAACACGATAAAGATAGGGTTTTTTTACTTTAGAGTAGGTCCATTATCTTGGAGTAAGTTGATAAAGAATCAAATGTCTGTGTTGATATCTTTGAAAATAGGATACCACTTTATGCGGAGGTTTTAAGGGTCAATGATATAAAAAAAAACAACATGAAAGGCAGAGTGGCATAAAGCGGCCTGTTCAGTCTCCAGACGACAATCTCTGGCAAATGTAAAAAAAAGTTGTTTATGTTGTCATACGAATAAAAAGGATTTTTGCGCTTTTGTGCAAGAGAAGAGAAATACAAGAATATCCTAAAATAATAGTGGTAAAGTTTGGTGACATCAAAGCCGACTCATTTTTTTATTCTTGTTGCAACCAAAGCAATAATTTTTTAGCACTTAAAATTTTGTATGGCCTTATATTTTGAAAGCATTTCATTTTTTTTAGTGTTTTTTTTATTAAAATTGTTATGTTTGTTGCAGCACCAAATCGACCGTATATCCATTTCATTTAAATTGTTTTTCTTTGATGTGTTTTGCGCATACAAACTATTTCCTTTAACTACTTATTAAATATTTAGACATTTATTTAAACAATTGTTGTAAACCAAATATTTTAGAAAAGTCACTTTCATATAACGGTGTAATTTTTGTTGTAGCATTTGTTGTAACAAGTAGCATTTGACCAAAAATATCAAAATTTTTCATTGAACTCTAGCGAAGAAAGGGCTAAGGAGATAGGTCAACATTATGACAAACACTGATCCCGATAAGCCGGTTTAGCAGCAACAACAAATTAAACAACATACGTAAATAGACTCATTAGCGGCACATGATATTGAAAAGTTGACATGAAACGCGGAGCCAGTTGCATGTGTATGATCGTAATACTGCCGATAGTGTAAGTTGTTTAATGACTTCATCTCAACATCTGCATTTTGTTACTTCCAAGCAAACCCGACAGCCTCGTATTGATGATAAAATAGTTTTATTTTTAATCAAAAGCTTGTTGCCTTTACCATAGCAAGTTGGACATTTAGAACATATATAAAAAAGCACTACGACAATATAAAGAAAAAATTTAAACAGATCTAACCAAGCGTCAAAAGTACCTAAAACTCGTTGCAATGACATTGAGAATACGGCTCGATAAATTCAACAAATTGGCGAGGAAAAACAACCACAACAACAGACGCCAAAATTATCCGGGAAAGCTACATTATACTATTATGTTTCAACACTTCGGTGACTTTCCCATTTTTTTTCTTTTAATAACCCAAAAATTACAAATCCTCAAAGATTTTAGTATGTATCACGAAAATGAATTTCCTAAATGAACCAATGTTCAAATATAAATATAAATGTGAACTTTTTCGCTAAATCAGCGATCAACAGAACAAACTACAAAACAAGCCCGTACCATACATAATTTACTATATCACAGTACACCCAGAAAAAAGTAGTACGAATAATTTTAGTACGGACGTACTTATAAATAATACACAGAGAAAACGATATTTTTCGCTATAACCCTGCTTAAAGTGTTTGTAAATTAATTATTAATTACAGTAAACTCTGTTAATTTAACAAAAAAACAAAAACTATTGATTTAAAACAAGACCATTTCGTTATTATAATGATTGGACTAGGGTGTAAGTGTTTTGAAACATCAAACATAGGTAATCTATTCTATTATCCAGCGCTCAGATCCCAGACTAAGATTTTATGTTTTTTTTGCAAATGTTCTTCTTTTATTTAAATTTATATGTGGTTGACCTCAAAAGTATAGCTGATAAAAGCTATTTGATTGCAAACAAATTGCTTTGGATTCTTACAGGCTTAGTAAATAGAAACCGGCTAATGGGTCTTCGAATCCAAAGGCCTCGGTTCGAATCCCGGTTGGGTCGACTTGCAACAAACAAAATAAGTTTGGTTTTCTGTTTCCTTTCCTTATCAGAGTTTATCATGTTCCATGTCAATCTTATTTCTTATGGAATCAAAGAGAAAAGAAAAAAAAGAGAAAGAGACAAATGTTTTTTTTTTTAACCTAAAATAAGAATCTTTTATACTTGCATAAAGAATTTTCGTAGTCAAACCAATATCTTTCGCACTTCAAGCACTTTTAGATACTTGGGACTGATGATGTTCATTCTCAAATGTAGAACTTCGGGATTGAAAAATTCGTACTTGAATATTGCCTTTCGTACTTGAATCAAAAAAAATCGAATTTACCCTACTTTTGACACCGTTCGTACTTGATTTGACACCGAAACTCTGGATGTTTTTCTTTGAGTGTAGTTATAGGTTAGTTATATAAATTCTAACCCCACTAGATAATTATCATAGATGTGAGATAAGACAAGGTAAATATTTAATACCAAATTTAATGCTTAGAATCCCATAGATGCACTCGAACTTTTAATTCTCTAAATGTGTAAATCGCTCTTGTTTAATTCATAATGGAGTGTGTAGTCAATTCTTAAAATAAAACTTACATTTTTCTTATTAGTTAGTTTTAATTGGCGAAATGGATTTTCATAGTTAAGCTCACCTGAATTGATGTTGGTGTGCGTTGGTGCGTTGCTGCAGTTTTGTGGTTGTAGTTGTAGATGCTGTTTTAGTTGCTCTTTCTCACACACACACACACAGATGCACACACGCACACATGCAACCCGAAGTGCGTGTGCACGAGATTTCTTTGTTGTTCTCGATATTCTCGATATTCTCTTTAGTTCTTTTTGTTTAGTGTTGGGTTTTGGTTTTTTGTTCTTTTATTTTTATTGGAATACGTCTTCGGTTTCTTCCTCTTTTTCGCTGCTGCTGTTCATATTGATCAACTTATAACTCGGCTAAAAATATATGGACAGTAGGCATGTTATTGATAGGTCCCGGCACTGAGTTCGATTTGGTTTTAGTTTTGGTTTCGGAATCATTGCGAGGCTTAAAAGCCCCTGATTCTGTGACCATTTTCGGGGTCCGACCTCGAGTCCTTCTGCCCCTCTCTTTCTTCCGTGCGAAGAGGACAAGCGACAGGCGGAGGTCGCTGTGCCGCCGCTTTTGAGAACGGTTATAAAATCGCGCGACAACGACACGAAATTGGCGCTGCTTTTAGCCGCTGTCGCCGCCGCCTTTGCTGCTTTTTGGTGCTTTTGCGCCCCGATGTCGCCATTTTTCGCTGGCCAAAACTTTTATGCACTTTGCACTCGCCCTCGCTCCTTCGCACTCGCACGTGCCCCTACATATGCAGTTGGTGCGCTCCCTTTCTCGCACGCCTTGCGACACAAACAAGCAGTATACACTCAGCCACACACACACTGACACCCACACATACACTGACGACACACAATCAAAAACCCATTCGGCTACTCGCCCACGCCCCCTTTGCCCACTCTCTCGTTCTAATAAAATCCCCCCCTCCCCGGCCGCAACGATTGCCTTTCGACCAATGACACTCGACGACAATATTAGCGAGCACACACACAGGCAAACGGACACACTGGCACGCACTCGCACACAAACACGCACACATGTACCCAAAAAACGAGTAACAAAAAACGAATGACGACGTCGTCGTCGACTGCGGCGTCGGCAGAGCAGTCGGCAGATGCGGGGAAACAAAAAAGGGAAAACAGGAAAAAAAATAAAGAGAGCGGGGCGCTATGTAATCCAATCCAAGAAGTGGGCGTGGGTGGGGTGGTTAAAAAACGAACGCACCGTGCAAAACCAAGGAAGCCAATCCAAAAGACGCAACGACAAGCGACAAAACGACAAGCGACAAACGACGACGGCGACACTTTGCAGCGAGTGCGAGCGGGACGGCGAGACTCGGGGATCGGAATGCAGAAACGAGAGGATAAAAAAACTGAATAAACGGCAGGCACACGAAGCAGGACATTCGCTGGTATCCTGACCATGCGCCCCCATCCCATCCCCTCCGACTGTTTTCTCACGCCCACACAATGTCCTGCGAGGGGCGGAGCACTTTACCAATACTTTTGCACGCGAATCCTTGTATTTTCGTTCTTTTTTGGTTTAGCACAGGAGAAACAGTAACAACAATAAAAAAAAATACAAAACTCAAAACATAAACTAACGCTTTTAGCGACGGCAAAACAAACGCATCGCAAAAGGTGTGGTTTTACTTTTGTTGTTGTGGTTGGAGTTGTTGTTGTCGTCGATGTCGTTGTTGTTGGTTGTATAAACAAAACTTGACCGCTGGCTATTCCGATCCGATTCTTTTGCTTTTTGCTTTTTCCGATTACCGATTCGATTTCGGTGTGCGGTGCGATGCGATGCGGCAGCGGCAAGTCGACTTCACTGTTTGAAATCACGTCGCCGTCGATTTTGCTGCTTTTGCCGCTTGGCGCTCCGCTCGCAAGAAAAAAAAAGAAAAAACATCTGGGAGCCAAACAAAGCACTCACACAAACGAAGCGCCTCTATTTACATGCGATATTCTCTGGACACTCGCATACACACACACACCGGCACTCGCCGCGCACCCCATTCACAAACACACACTCGCACCCGCTGGCTGTCCATTCGCTGTGTACTGCCGGCTCTCTCGCACTTGCACAAAGTGCTCAAGTTGAGAGCCAAAGCAAGCAGTGGATAAGCAGTGCATGAGTCTTAAGAGAGGCATTAACCGAAAAGAGCGACCCCCGCCGCTCTCTTTACCCAAAAAGAGAGTCCTTGGTCGATAGCTCTACATTATTTTGTTCCTTATCAGTTCGTTTTGTGGTTTATCATTATTTATCATTACAAATTATTTATTGAAAGAAATTTGTCGAATAATGTTAACTTCCAGTCCCATAAGCCTCTCGATCCTCATGACTAAAAAAAAAGTAAAAAAATTAAAATTTTTTTTTGGTATAAATCTTAATTAATTTAAAGTTTGGAAGGAGAAAATGTGATTTTAAATTGGAAATATTTAAGACAAAATGTATTTTGCTCAAGACATTCTGGCTAAAAGCTAAAAACTGGCCTCTTTCAAATGAATTTGTATTAACTTTCGATTGGAATCGGCTTAAAAGGCATTAGTGTAGTACCCCGGATTGTTATGCTGATTTGCTGTTTTCATCTTTAATTGACTGCCAAAATGGTGACTGCACCCAAAAGAAAATTGTCTTAGATACTAAACTATTGGTACATGAATTAAAAACTATTTAAAATATTCAGTGAATACCACGAAAGTATTAAAATAAAATTTTTGTGGCTTAAAAATACGACATAAGACTACAGTTTTACACTATTTCTTAAACCAAACTTTGTAGTTTTTTTTTTTGGTGTAGAGAAGGATTTAAAATCAATTCATATATATGTTGTTCGATGTCTTACTCGTAGTCATTTCAAATGTTGAATTTGCATCTTTTTGGTAATTTTAAAGTTCAAGGGGCAGCAAAAATAAATTTTTATAAACATCTGGATTTTAACAAGACCATTAAACAAACTCAATTTAAATAATTTAATTTAATTAATTGTATAAAAAAGCATTAAAAATTTTAAATGTTTCTGGGATCTGGCATCTGGATTAAGAACAAATTTTAGCTTAAAATCAAGAAGAGAATATTCTTGGAACGAGAAGGCTTCACTTTTGAAAGTCTAGAAAATAATACCTTTGTAATCAAGAATCAATCTGAGAAAAAATTATCTACTTTTGAGCATGGAACTACTGAAATTGAGACCGTTGAGAACGGTTATTTTTCTGAGTGTATAAGTGATTTCAAGACCCTAATGATTTCTGTGAAGGAAATTTTTAACGCAAAAGTTCAAGACAAACCATTTTGGAAACAAAAGAAATTATCTAAAGGGGCATTTTTTAAAATTCGAACAAAATATATTTCAAATTTAATATTAAATTACTATAGTAATTTGAAACGAAAAAAGGTCCAAAATAGAGAAGTTACAATATTTTTAAAATTTTTTTTTGTAATATACCGTTTTTCCCATGGGAGCTATATGGTATAGTTGTCCGATTAAGGACAAATTTAAATCAAACCGTGACTATATCTCGAAGAACTAAAAGAAAAAATAAAAAACAACAAATTTAAAACCTACTGCCGTCCGATTTTATTTTATTTTGTTTTGCATTGTTTAGTTTTTGTTAAAGCCAAATGATGAATTAAAAAAAAATTGTGTTGAAAATTGCCAAATTTTAATTTTTTTTTTAAATATATATGTCGAATACTTCGAGCGTTTTAACCATGAACAAAATAAATGTCTATTATTTCGACTGTCTAAACCATGAACTTCCGCAGTTGCGACCTAACGAATCCCAAAAATAAAATGCATGCTGTGCGCTGACGCAGTTTCAAACAGCCTTCCGTCTTGCCGCGGTTTCTTCATTAGAGCCCATAGCGCAGTGCGAAGTCGTCCGTCTCGCGTCCTACAGGCAAGGGTTCGATTCCCACGGACGGCTAAATAAGAATGAAAGTTTTTTTTGCTCATCAGAATTTAATTACATAAACTTAAAGTATACCATGTTTATTTATCCCACATTTTCATTTCCCCTGGTCCTCCAGTTGAAAATGGAATTTTTATATCCCAACAATACTTACCTTACTACAAAAGCAAATGTCATCTGTATGTATATACATAATTTTTATAAATTTTTATAATTTTTAGAAAAATGTTCCCTAAAATGTATGGTAAGCTGCCCTTCATTTTAGACACACTTTGTATAAATTCTAGAAAAGTTGTCCTTGCTTCAAGGGCTTTTGCCCAAAATGTTAGAAATAAACGCCATTAGTTTTAGAAAAATGTAGACTAGAATTTATGGTGTTATTGAACCCAAATATAGGACAAATTTCTTGTTTTAGGGTTAATTTTATTCATACATACATATGTATGTAGGGATTATACGTGCTCAACTTGAACAACAAATTTAACAAAAGTCGCGTCGCTACAGAACATTTTAAAAAGATTTGTCAATGACCGAAAAATACTTTCCCAACTTCCCCAGAATTTTGAGAGAGAAGGTCTCTCTTAATTTTTATCTCTAAAATTCGTTTCTAACGTCAAATCTAATTTCTTCTGGATTTTAAGATCGTAAACTGCTTTATTCAGTTCGAATATTCACCCTTCCAAAACTATACATAACTTGGATTGACTGGTAGGACAGGCTCCAAAAGCACTTCGATTCGATATATACTGATTTGGAAGCTCAATAGATAAATTCCGAAAGATTTCCTTTTTACTACCATAATTTATGCACTTTTTTTGGCTTTTAATGTTAATGACGGTACATTTTTTTATATTAAATTTGCTCTTTACGTTGTTGCCTTGGGTATTTAACTATATCTTATACGTGCACTGAATTTAAATTTTTTGCAAGTATTTGTGTCTGTGAATTCATACAAAATTTGAAGAAATTATTGAACATGAATATTTGGCTTGCTTGCTTTCTAAATGCATGCATAAAATAAAAAAAGTGAGCTCTGAGTGTTCAAGGATTTATTACCCCACAGTGTCAATGCATGCACCTCTGAGAATTTAGCGAAAAGCGTTTTTAACTGCCTTCAAGCCTTTAGCTGCAATCATGCTAACCCCAAAAATCCAATCCAAAATGGAAGAGCCCGCTCAGAGAATTGCTTGGTTGCAGAAAGCAAATGTCAATTGCATGCAAATGGTATAAATTTAAATCCACATACAGTTTGTCAACTAATTCTTTGCAAAATAGAAAATGTCAATAAAATTAATGTTGATGTTTAATATTTATTAACAAAAATATGATTTATTTCATTTTTTCTTTTATAATATTGTAAAGGTGATTCTTAGCAACAATTATGGATTTAAAAAAATATAAATTTCAGCATAAAACACAGAAAAAAATATCAAAAACAAAAAAATGACAAATTTTAATCTGTCAATTAATTCTTTGCAAAATGCAAACACAAGCTAAAGAGAGGCAAAAAGCCAAGCAACGGTAAATCAAATTCGGGAGAAATAAATTTGTCCGTCTTGGATGTGTTCTTATCTCTTATTTTCATTACGTTTTTGGTTTGGACAAGTGCACAGTTGACTGCAATTTGCAATATTAACAATGCCTGGCAAACGTGTTGATGAAAATTTAATTCAACTAGTTTACTTTAATTATTATAAGGGTAAACCGGCAAAGGAGCTAGCAAAAATGTTTAATATTAAATTAAGGACAATATACAATATTATTAATCGGGCAGAAAAGGAAAATCGGCTGCATCTGAATAATTCTGGAGGGAGACCAAAAAAACTCACCAGACGCGATCAATCAAAAATTTTGAAAAAGATTGGCGAAAATCCGCAAACTACACTCAGGCAGTTGGCATTGGAGTTAAAAAATGATTGCAATGTAACTGTGAGCCACGAGACTGTACGAAAAGTTCTCAATACTCACAAGTACTCATCACACGTAGCAAGAAAGAAACCAATGCTCTCTCCGCTAAACATCGAAAGGCGGCTCAACTTTGCTATTTCCCATGCTAATCAGCCGGCGGAGTACTGGAACGACGTTATCTTTTGTGATGAAACTAAGATAATGTTATATTATCACGATGGACCCAGCAAAGTTTGGAGAAAGCCGAAAACAGCCTTTAAACAGAAAAATATAATACCAACAGTGAAGTTTGGCAAACTTTCTGTAATGGTTTGGGGATGTATTTCGTCCAAAGGTGTTGGAGAGCTTAGAATTTTTAATGAAATAATGACCAAAGAGTTTTATTTGGACATTTTAAAAAATGAACTAACAAACAGCGTGAAGGCGTTTGGGTTCATTAACCAGCAAAACCGAAATAAACTTCAGTACAAACTGTATCAGGACAACGACCCAAAACATAAATCGTTCCTTTGTAGGTCCTGGCTGCTGTATAACTGCAGCAAAGTGATCGACACTCCAGCTCAGAGTCCTGACCTTAACCCCATCGAAAATTTGTGGGCCTTGTTAAAGAAGAAGGTGGCTAAAAGGGGACCAACTAATAAAAAAGCTTTAATACAAGTAATCCAAGAAGAATGGAAGAAAATACCGGAATACTATGACCTAAATGTCCTTATACAGTCTATGTCTCGTCGCCTAAATGCAGTATTAGATGCCAAAGGACACCACACAAAATATTAGAACATACATCGTTACATTTTTTAAGTTTTGGTTACGAATCTAACAAATGTTTGCATTTTGCAAAGAATTAATTGACAACTGAAATTTTGTTATTTTTTTGTTTTTGTTATTTTTTTCTTTGTTAAATGTTGAAATATATAAATTTTGTTATTCATAATTATAGTTAAGAATCACCCTTACAGTATTATAAAAGAAAAACTGAAATAATTCGTATTTTTGTTAATAAATATTAAT